TCTCGCCAGCGTGGGGGCTGCCGGCCGGAGGCAGAGCTGGGTCAGGGCTGGGGACCGACTCGGCCTGTGCGCTGGGGGCCGGCAGGGGCGGTGGCAGCGCTCCTTTCACATCCGCGAGGACGAGCGGTGAGTGCCGGAGACCTGGAGAGAAAGGATGCGGGGCGGCGCTTGGGGAGGACAGAGGCGGGACAGCAGCCGGGGCCCACAGCCCTGCGGGGAGGAGCGGAGGCATCCCCAGCGGGCCCGCCCCGTCGGCACCGGCCCCGAGCAGACTGCCCCCGGCCCCTCCGGCTGTCACTCAGCCCAGGCATGCCCGGTCGGGGGGCCATTTCCCAAAGGCCCGGCACCCGAGCCCCACTACCCGGGTGTGCCCCTCCCGCCTCTGTGAGCAGCCCGCCCGGGGGGCGCAGGGCCCGAGCGCGCCCACAGGCCTCGGGCAGAGCGGGCGGCAACGCTGCAGCCCGGCCAGGTGCGGTCTGCGGGCAGCAGGTCGCCTGGCCCCTCTGAAAGTGGCCCCCACCTCCTGGGCGGTCGTGGGGAAAGAGGGGACTTCCCTGTGCAGGGTCAGCCCGCGCAGGCAGGGGAGCCCCGGACCCGGCCGCTGCTCCTGTTCCTCGCACTTCCCTCCTCCCAGGCCGGCTGACACGTCCCTTGGGGATCTGAAGATGTTGACAGGTGTCACGGTCCCCAGAGAGAAAGCCTTCTTCTCGGGGGAAAATACGGGCAGTGACTTTGGCACAGTGTGGCAGACACCACTGGTCACCCACTCAGTGCCCCCAATATTCCAGGCTAACAACTCGTTTTGTTCAGGTGTGGGGTGCCCCGTGTCAAGGACGGTGGGCCCCTCCCCCATCCTAGAACAAGTCACAGATCGCGTCATTCCCTTTGCCGGTGATTGGTTGGGCGGGGGCACGTGACACCGCTTTGGCCAATGGGATGGAAACTGAGGGGGTTCGAGGCGGGTTCTGGGAAAGGCTTTTGACCTGTCTTTGAGTACAGATGTTCTGAACTTAAGTGTCTGACCCTTGCTTATTTAGTCTGCCTTTAGAAAAAGAAATATACGCACAAACTCCCTTTTGGCTAAGATGCATCTGACGTCTCAGTGCAGGAACTCACTTCTAACCTTCACCAGACATGTATTTGGTTGTATTTCAAACACAAAATCACAGCAAGTGCATTAAGTAACGTTACCCCGAAGAGAAGCAATGCTCTCCAGTAGCTCTTCCTTCTCCATGACAGGTGGCCCGTGGTGGAGTGTCATGGCTTTGGTGCCAGACTGCTTGGGTTCATTAAATCCTTGCTTTGCCCTTTCCAAACTGAGTTATTTTGGACAAATTTATTTTACCTTTCTGTGCCTCAGAATCCGCATCTGTAAAATAGCCTAGTATCTACCTCATTCAGTGGCGTCCCCAGCCCTAAGAATCAGGGACCTGCTCAGCCGCTCCCTGGCACCGGGTTTCCAGCTACAGCAGCACAAGGCTCTATCACTCACAACTGCGCTTGAGTAGAAGCCTTGTTCCCATCCCCTGGAACGCGCCAGCACAGGGCACGCCCGTCACCACCGCCTTTGGAGGGAGACAGCCCTAGTCTGCAGGAGGCTTGGCTTCTTTTTGCGGGGTGTGGCTGTATTCAGTACCACATGACACCCCACCCTCGGTCCACCCTGGGCCCCACTGGTGCACAGCCAGCTCCCCCTTAACTAAGTGCACTGGATGCTTCTGCTGTTCCTATGTCGCCTGTCACTCAGCTCCCTGAAGACAGAGCCACATATTTATTTGCTTACGATGCCTCAACCTTCTGCATAATCATTGCTGGATAAATCATTTTTGATTAATTGGTGGAAACATCCAGCTACCACGAACTCCTGCTCCCACATGGAGTTCCTCATTGAGCTCTGAGGACCAGACGCCTCAGCATCCAGCCTGGTTCCAGTGCTATGGTCGGTCTCGTGAACAGTCATTTCCAGCATTTTCCAGCTTGAGGACAAAAATACCAGAACTGCACATGGGAAAGACCCTCAGGGAGAACCTCGAAATCTGATGGTCCGAAGATCTTCGTCATTTTTCCTTCTTTGTTTGCTAACATTAATTTTATTATCATGAATAAAATGATACATTTCCAAGCAGAATCTCAGCCTCCCAACTCTTTAAATGAATGCAATCTAATTTAACTCACCTGCCCTACCAAAAACTCAGTGAGATTTTTCTAGATTATAAAAAATGAGCTATAAATAGATTGGGCCTGGACATCTTGCAGGGTTGGCCAAAGAGCCGTCACCCCTCCCACTTGTCCATCTGGGTCACTATTTCTAGCACTCTTTAAACCATATCATTACCCTCCTATCAGAAAAATGAAGCAGAATAGAAAATGGAATGGGGGGAAGTTAGCTGCAGCTTTCTTTTACTGAAAATGCACGTGATCTCAGACAGCTTGGCCACCTTTTGAAAAGTCATGTCCTAGAAGACACATCTGGCTGGAGAAGAAACCTCGCCCTGACAGGACAAAGTTGAGGGCAGGACCGAGGCAAAGTCTCGCACCTTCTCGGGCTGGGAGGACCTCCTGGGGCCCTTCCAGTTGCCGGGAACAGACCCAGGTAGGTCGTCACAGGCATCGGGATGCTCGTGGCAGAGGAAGAGCCATACTCAGTCCTGGAGAGGCGTTTCGAACTCACATTTAACTCCCACAAAGGTGACCTCCTATGTTTGGGGGAAAAATGATTAAAAAGAAAAAGTGAATGCTGCCACCTGCCATGCCAGTTGATGACCACGTGCCCTAGAACAAGCCTGAGGTGTGGGACGTGTCTGGCTCCCTTCAACCATCTTGCTTCCTGTGGGTCCCTCATTGTGTGTGTGTCTCACCACAGAGCACGATTTCAGTGTTTAAAGCTATGTTTGTTTGTTGTTGGGGTACAGTGTGGCCCCTAACCACAAGCCAACTACTTCAGCTGATGCTCAGCCATCACTGGAGGAAAACTCGACCGTGTTGGGTTCGTTTGAGAGAGAATTTGTAGGTGTTTAAGATGGTATCTTCTTAAGGGGTTTGCAAGGATAACTTTGGCAAAAAGATTTCCAGCTTCCATGCTGACTTCAGATCCTAACTCCTTAAAAAGAGGCAGTCCTCAAAGTTCAGATATGTCGGGGTCCCAGGAAGCACTATTTTGTGTGTCCTCGTAAGGCTGGGGTCAAGGGTCCCCACTAGTGCTGCACTCCTGACATGCCTTTGCTAGTGTCGTGTTAGTCTTCTATGGCCACTGGAGCAAACGACCACAAATTTATCATCCTACAGCTCAGGAGGTCAGAAGGCGGACACTCACCTTCTGGAGGCTCTGGGGAGAATCCGTTGCCTTGCCCTTTCCAGCTTCTTAAGGTCACCCACATTCCTTGGCTTGTGGCCCCCTCCTCCATCCTCAAAGCTGGTAACGCTGCATCTCTGACCATCCTTCTCAGTCACACCTCCCTCTGATTCTCTGCAGCTGGGAGAGCTCTCTGATTTAGGGAGCTATGTGATTAGTTTGGGCCTATCTGGGTAGTCAGGCTCTTCTCTTCATCTCAAGGCCCACAACCCTTAGTCCCATCCGTACAGCCCCTTTGGCCATGTAAAGCACATACACACAGGTTCCAGGGATGGGGGTGTGGACATCTTTGGGAGATTATTCTACCCACCTCAGTCATCTTTTGTGTCCTCCCATTAACGATCAGTATAATCTTTCTGTATTTCCTGGTTATAATTACCAAGCTAAAGAATCAAATTGACCTACCACCGGGCCTCCCCACCCTGCCTTTTCGGGCATGTTTTTCCTACCGAATCATTTCACAGGTCACTAACCAGCCAATGGTTAGCTCCCCTTGGGTCAGGTGCCTCTCCCTGACTAGTCAGCAGGCCTGGAGTTCCCAGTCCTCCGTGGCAGCAGGGAGCCACTGATCACAGATGGCATGACAACAGACACCACGGCGAACATTCACTGTGTGTCAGGCACCATCGGGAGACTCCTGCCTGATCCTGATTCAGTACTTACTGGCTATGACAATACCTAGGGCACCAATGTCCAGGGATGTGCTTCATTCATAGAGGGGTTCAGGCACACAGAACAGGAACCTTCCTGATGGGCCCCAAACTATGGAAGGGATCTATTTGCAAGTGATGAGACACTGGCCATCCATCAAGTGCCCGTGTGCATGTGTGTGTGTGTGTGTGTGTGTGTGCAGGCTGAATAGCTGGAGATGGCTGTGGGTGATCAGATGTTGAACCTGGCATCTCCTGGGTACAGCCTCTCCCGTCACCTGACAGCCACAGAGGAAAGTGAGCAGTGGCCGCCGTCCTGGCTCGGGGCATGTTAAGCCCTGATCAGAGACTGTGCTATTCTGAGAAGATGGAGAATCCTTCAGGAGAAAAAGGCCAGTGACAGTGGAGCCTCCCAGGGAGGAGCGGGGCGAAGTGAAGACTCTAGGACGGGCAGCCTCCTTTCCACTCCTGTAGGCAGGGCTGGTGGCCTAGGACACCAGTGAATGGCGGCTTTGGAGTGATGTCTAAAGAACCACGCCTCACCTGATGAATTGGCACACACAGCGTAGCGGTGTCAGAGCATTTGCTCAGCCTCCTTGATCTTGGCATAATCCATCCCCTCCCACTTAGCACCCCCGAGCGTGCGGTTTCCAGGACCTCGGTGAGCACAGCCGACACACGGCGTGGGCCAGCCTGTGGTGCGGGTGCCTGTCGTGCGCACATCTGCACAGCTCTGCAGCAGCCTGCGCCCTGAAGGGGGATTTTCACAGGAGACTGTCTTCACAGCAAGAGGTGTGCGAAGGGGAGGAGGCAGAGGAGCCATGAGGACCCCAGTCCTTTCCGGTAACTTCCGGTAATGCCAGCAAAGCAGCTGCAGTGGAGACAACAGCCCAACAAGGAAGAGGGACATGAAGATGCTGGTTTGAAAACAGACTGAATGCAAGTTTGACATTTTGAGAAAATATTAACAATAAATGGCATGGGGAAAAACAGGTAAATCAGACAGAAACAAAATATATTTATTAGAAATATTACAGAGTCATATACACAGTACACGTTCATGTTAATAGTTAAATACATCTTTGTTGGCACATCATGTCCTGACAACACTGGGACAATCTGGGGTGCTCTTTGTAGATACGAGGCCACAGATGTATCAACTGCTTTCAACTAATGTAGTTAAACAGTGAGCTACTCAGATGTTACAGATTTAGCCAAACTCCAACCTGGGTCAGAGAAGTGAAAGACCCAGTGAACTTGGGCAAAGGAGACATTAAAAAGACTTTTTAAAAAGGTTGCTAGGCTACGTCCTTTCCTGCATATCAGGGGTAGTTCATCGCAAAATGGCACTCAAGCTTTGGAAGGAAGAGCTGCTGCTGGACTGGCACAGGGGGTGGTGCCCGGCCTGCCCTCCCTGGGGAGGCGGGAGGGGGAGACTGGGAGGGCCCGGCCAGTGTTTCTGAGAGGAAGAGAACACTGCAGACACTCGTCCTAGCTGCCTGCGTGTCACCACACGGTTCATCACTTTGGGACACTCTGGATGGTCTCAACAGAACCTATAACATAACAACTGAATGAAGAACAAAAACCAAAGACTAACTTGGCTTCCGAGGAAGTGCAAATTCGCCCACTTCCTCACAGTGCTCACGCCAGGGGGCCCGGCCCCGGCCCGTCAGCCGTCAGCTGGAATTCAAGTCCATGAAACAACTCACAGTGCAGACAGCCACGGTCTTCTCTTTAAAGACTCCTCCACTCTGCTGGGCCTTGCATTTTGCATCTGTCTTTTACATAAAAATTAATACATTTTTTAAAAAAAGGATCTGCAGAACCACCAAATAATTTTAAAGGACTAGGTATTGGCTGAAGAAAGATGGGAAGAAACATGGATACTGCAGCCTCAGGACAGGAAACTGGGGATGACACAATGGCTGGCACCATCCTGTCTTCTCAATTTATCAATTTCCCACATTTGCCTTGTGCTCTGAGCTTTCCAATTCAAAATGGGTCTAAAAACTCCAGTCTGTGGCCCAGCCCCGGCCTGCAGTGCTGGAAGGCCTGACCCCGCAGCCCGTCTGCCTTCAGCCCCTAAACCAAGGTCCCGCAGCGTCACACCTGCCCCCAAACACCACCTGTGTTTCCGTGAGCAGGACACACTTCCTCTGCTGTAATCACGCCCACTGGCCAAGATGATGGTGGTCAAGGAACTTCTGTGACTTATAAAAGTAAATTGCACGTGGCCTTTCTTTCACATGCCATTTCTTTCCTTTTTTTAACCTAAAGGGAGCAGGCTCCAGCGTGGAGGGAGGGGCAACAGCAACACCACCCCTGCAGAGAGAGCTCTGCTGGGGCTCATTCTCAAGCATTTGCGGTAATCACAGAAGAGGCACCTGGAACACCAGATACCTCTCCGGGGATCCCAGGACCTCCACTGCATCTCCCCACGAAGCCCTGTAGGACCCCCAGATTAAACAACAATCCACAGCTCAGCCCAACTACGGGGATATGACTCTTCCCCACTGTGCTGGTGAGCAGCGAAGCATGGGGATGATGAAAATGTACCAGTTACGTCAACAAGACGGATGCATGAAGCAACACAAGGAGGAACCTCCCTGTGGGTGTGTTCACAGGAAGGAGTCAGTTACGTGTGTTCAGACTGCGCCTCCAACTTCCGTCTGAAAACAGAGGGGCCAGTTCCGCGGTTTCAGCACCAAACCCTGCTCTGGAGCGACCTGTGCTCACTGCCCCGCGTGGGGCTGAGATGCACGGGGCACTTTCCTCTCAGGGGCTCTCAGGGAACTTGGCAAACACAGAGAACACATCCTTGGTCCCCTTCCAGAGGTTCTGATTCAACTGACAGGCCAGGCAGGAGTGTGTGTTTTCAACAAGCTCCCCGGAAGGTTCGGATCTAGAGCACAGAGGAGAACCACAGCAGGGCAGCGCGCGGCCTGGGCACGAGGGCAGGTCCCTCCGCCACGCCCGCAGAGGCGGCCTGAGGGGGGCCGAGCTGCCGTCCCAGCACAGGGACCGCAGCCTCCAGGCGTCCACTGTGAACAAGGCTCGAGCAGCCATGCAGACTGGCTTTAAGTATTGACGGCAGTATCGTGACTGGTGACTCGTGGTGAGCAGTCCCACAGAGCGACGGGCACTGACGAAGCCACCTCAACCGCCAGTGTGAACCACACCCTCATCCGCTATGCAACGGGCACCTGTTTTCCCAAGACGAACATCAGAGAGCCACCAGGTGGTTCCTGCGCCGAGCGCTTCCGAGGTGACCATGGCCGCTCCGAGAGCTCTGCCGCCACTCAGGGTGCTGGCAGGTCAGCCGAAACCGCATTTTCTTTTGTTCAATTATAAACGGAGCCATCGCTACCTCCCCCTAAGGGCTTCCTTTCCCACACAGACGTAAAAGGCCTGCCCAAGTACCGAAAACTAAGTCTTGGGTTGAAATGTTTAAATTTGCTGTCTGTCCAAGAAATACACATCTTCAGCCTGTTTGTGCAAATGCACGAAGGCCCCGGCAGGCACACGCAATTTCACACGAGTGACTTTCTGTTAAGTTCTGCACATGGGACAAATGTGTGTGGGTGTGAACGAGAGTGTGGATAAATGGGGGACGAACAGAGCAGGCGCATCAGCACAGAGGCGGTCGGCCGAGAGGGAGGTCTGCGTGTGACCGCGGCCAAGCACACAGCCATGGGGCAGCACCGCTTCCAGCTGTAGGACTCCCCACGGGACACTGCGGCACGCCACCCAGGGGCTCCTCTGCATTCTCAAATGTTTTTTCTTCCATCCAAGGAATCAAATAAGTAAGTGACGGTGAGATCTAAAAAATGTAATCAAGTTCTAGGTGTTAAAAGTGTTACCCAGAACAGGAGTATACTTCCCACAGACACAGGGCTGCTTGTTTCCAGGCTGCTTGAGAGCTAACGTTTCTTTGACTTTTTGCATTTTGTTGTTTTTTTTTTTTTGAGGGGGTGGGGAGTGGCAAGGGCAAGGTTTTTATAAAGGAAAAAGTCAGGATTTTTAGTAAAAAGATGACAGATTTGGAAGTGCCATTTGTCATGAACTCAGTGCAGCTCACGTGTGTAGACACGCAGTGTGACTGGAGATGTCGTCCTGGGGTCGTGGGAATGAGCCGGGAGTAGACTCGGGTCTGGAAGGAGGAAGGCCGTGGCAGAGCGAAGCTTCCTCGACGTACACTCCCAGTGCCTCTGGATGCATGGCGGGTGCACGGCGCAAGCCAGCTCTGCTTCTTCTTTGTGTTGGTCCCCCTGGGTTGAGCCTTCCTCTGAAATCCAGACAGTCGGGTGGCAGATGGAGCAGGGCCTGTGGAAAGTGACCAGGTGCTTCCAGGACAAACTGCAGGTGGTAGCGGCTGCTCTTGGGCCCTCTGGGTTTACGTCTCAAAGTACTTGTAGATTTGGGCCACGTACTGCATCACGCTCTGCCAGTCGGGCCGGTCTGTGTACAGCATCTCACTGAGCTCCTGCAGGAGAAGGGCAGAGGTCACAGGGGACATCACAGACCCCCTTCCCACAAAGGGGCTCATATCCAGGTCAGGGCTTGAGCTGCCTAGAGACCCTCCACCTACATGCACAGAGGGTAGAGGCAACACCAACATGGTGTTAAATGTGACTAGTTAAAAGAAAAGCTTTTTCTTTCCTTTTATTCAGGAGATATCATCCTTTTTAAAAAACATTAGTCATGACCTCCCACCCCTCTCATCTTTTATTAATGTGACAGCATGAAAAAGTTTTGAAAAGAGGAAAGTCACTCATAATTCCATTATTGTAAAACAATTTCCACTTTTCTAAGTTACATTCAAAGATACGCTTGTACCCTGGCTTCCATCACAGTAGACATTCTATCGTGTGCTCTGTGCTTTTTACTTAACGCCTTTTATACACAATTTCCAATGTGGCAGCGCTGCGTCGGCTGCCATTTTAGGGGATGCGCACCGCCCATCGTCGACATGTCATCTCCTAGCACCTGATGCAGTCTGCGTTCACTTCTTCACGTTACAGACTTTGCAATAAGCATCTTTGTGCAGTATTGTTTCCTTCTGTTGAATTAGTGCCTTAAAAATGCAACCACTGTTTTATCAGAATTAACTGTTACCATTTAATGTTCTCTCCCTTAATTTAGCAGGCAACAAGCAAGCAGAAGGTAGAGGCCAGAAAGTGCTAGACAGGAGGGCAAGGTCCTCTGCTGAGCCCCTAGTCAAGCTTTCCTGGAATTTGCGCCACTGAACATATTTAATAATTCACTTTGGGGCTGAATTTGGAGTCTTTTGTGGTCACAAGAGAACGGAGACCCGTTCTGCTGTGGAAAAGGACCCTGAAGAGGAAAGGACCCTGAAGTAAAGCCAGAAGCAGAGATACATGGAAAAATAAGGCTGAATTTAGTACATCTGTTCCTGGGCGGTGACACAACTGGCTGGGCCTGTAACTAGCCACTTATCTTCTGTTTCAACATCTGAACATATTTTATCAGTTCTGCTCCCTGGTTATGCCATAAAACTATCCGCATATCACTGGTCGTGGAAAAGGAGCAAGTGGAACACTCCACACAGATATGCCTAGAACAATTTAAAGAGAAAAACAAAGTTTTCACAGACTATAACAATAAAAACTCTCCTTCTAGCCCAAATACTGTGGTCAGGCCTGTGCACACAGACTCATGCATGAAAAGCTAAAATTCTTACAATAGGAGGGTAGTTACTATGACGATACAGCAGTGATCCAGCATTGAGTATGCTGTTTAGGAGACAGACGAGCTCTAAGAAAGGAAGGAATGCCTACAGATGCAAGAGAGATGGCAAACTTTCCCCTGTATCATAGGAAGGATGTGTCTTCCATCTCCAAGAGGATTCCCAAGTCTGATCAATATTCAGTTTTACTCAGACTATCTTACATGCCTGAACCTAATAATAATTAAATTAAAAAATATTTTGGTACATTGTCAAGATAGTTGAACACATTTGAAGAACTAATTCAGCACATATCAGGAAAGAGTATGCTGCATAAAAATCTGATAATGCATGACATTTACTTGAATTTTTAGCTAAAAACCATCCGAAAAAGAAAACACCAGGCCCAGATGGTTTCACTGGTTAATGCTACCAAATATTTAAGGAAGAAATAATCCCAATTTTACACAATCTCCTCCAGAAAATAGAAGAGGAGGGAACACTTCCTCACTCATTCTATGAAGCCAGTATTACCCTAATACCAAAACCAGACAAAGGTATTAAGGAAAACTACCAATTTCTCACATGAACACAGACACAAAAACCCTTAACAAATATTAGCAAATGGAATCATGATCAAGTGGGGTTCATCTCAGGAATGCAAGGCTAGTTCAACATCCACAAATCAATGTTATTCAGATTAACAGACTAAATAAGAAAAACTGTATGATCATATCAACAGATGCAGAAAAAGTAGTACAAAAAATTCAACCACTATTCATGATAAAAACTCTCAAAAAACTAGAAATAGAATGGAATTTTTTTTTTTTTTTTTTAAAGATTGGCACCGGAGCTAACAACTGTGGCCAATCTTCTTTTTTTTTTTGCTTTATCTCCCCAAATCCCCCCCCGTACACAGTTGTATATCTTAGTTGCAGGTCCTTCTAGTTGTGGCATGTGGGACGCCGCCTCAATGTGGCCTGATGAGCGGTGCCATGTCTGCGCCCAGGATCTGAACCAGGGAACCCAGGGCCGCCGCAGTGGAGCATGTGAACTTAACCACTCGGCCAAGGGGCCGGCCCCAGAATGGAATTTCTTTTACCTAATAAAGAAAACATACAGGGGCCAGCTTGGTGGTGCAGCAGTTAAGTGCACATGTTCCACTTTGGCAGCCCAGAGTTCGCTGGTTCGGATCCCGGGTGTGGACATGGTGCTACATGACAAACCATGCTGTGGCAGGAGTTACACATATAAAGTAGAGGAAGATGGGAATGGGTATTAGCTCAGGGCCAGCCTTCCTCAGCAAAAAAGAAGAGGATTGGTGGCAGATGTTAGCTTAGGGCCAATCATCCTCAGGTGGGGAAAAAAAAATACAAAACCCAAAAGCTGACATCATACTTAAGGGTGACAGAGCGAACACTTTCCCCCTAAGATCAGGAAAAAAGAATAAGGCAAGGATGTTTTCTCTCACCTCTCCTATTCAACACTGTACTGAAAGTTCTAGCTAGTGCAATAAGGCAAGAAAAAGAAACAAACGGCATACAGATTGGAAAGCCAGAACTAAAACTATCTTTATTTACAGATGATATCATTGTCTATGTAGAAAACCCCAAAGAGTCTACCAAAAAATTTCCTGAACTAACATGCAAGTTTAGCAAGGTCTCAGGATACAAGTCAATAGCTTTCCTATATACCAGCAGTGAGCAAGCGGAATTTGAAAAAATAAAAACAAAAATAACCCTTTTAAATGATGCCAAGGAAAAAAAGAGGATCTATATGCAGAAAACTGCAAAACACTATAGACAAAAAACTATGAAACACTGATGAAAGAAATCAAGAAGCTCTAATTAAATGGAGAGATACTCCCTGTTCATGGATTAGAAGACTGCGTATTGCTAAAATGTCAATTCTTCCCAATCTGATCTATAGAATACAAGACAATCACAACCAAAATTCCGGCAAGTTTTTGGTAGATATTGACAAACTGATTCTGAAATTTATAAAGGCAAAGGTACTAGAACAACCAAAACAATTCTAAAAAGAAGAATAAAGTTGGAAGACTTGATTTCATGATTTGTAAAGCAAAATTAATCAAGACAGTGTAATACTGGTCAAGGGACAGAACTGAGATCATGTTATGTGTATTTTACCAGAATAAAAATAATTGGAAAAAAAAAAAAAAGGGTAAGGCTTCTCACCCTCGGGAGCTCAGGGTGTTGGGGGGGATGTAAATAAGCTCTATAAATCAGATAAATCACAACGTAGCACACATACTGTATAGTACTATGAGTAAATTGTGCTTTAAGAGCCCAGAAGGTGGGCACAGCTGTCCTGGTGCGGGGTCACGGGCTGGGTAAGGTGTAGGCTCTGGAGCCAGCCTGCTGGTCTTGACTCTTGTCTACTTCTCACTAGCTGTGTGATTTTGTGTGGAACTACAGGTGCCTCAGTGTCCCACCTGCATGGAGCTTGATCTCGGAGGACTTCTGAGGGGCCCAATGACTCAACACATGTGCTTGGCACGCAGTAAACATGAAAAACACGTTTTTCATGTGATTAAGTTTGAATTAACTCCTTAAGTATCCTTTATAAAGTTTATCTACAGAGCAGGCTCAGTTATGGCTAAGGAACCATTCTGACATCCTCGTAAAATCCTGTGTGGCAATGACCTCCCTCCGTAGGTGACCTGAAGAACTTAATCTGTGTGTGTAGCGACTGTGCGGGTGGACACACTGGCTTACTGAGGAAGCAACACCCTCACAGAGGACATGACCCCGTGTGGGACTGGCCCCTCACGAGGATACAAACACATCACCCCTCAGAGGACACACTTTCTGGATGTTTTTATGGAAATGGTGATGAGGCCCCATGCCCTCTCTCACCTATTCCTGCTGTGAGGAGTTGCTCGCCCCTGTGACATGGTTGCTAAACCTCTGTGTGACGCTGGCTGAGAAGGAACGCTTTCCACAATTGTAGGAATGCTGTAGAGCTTTCACTTATTAAAATCTCATCCTTGCTAATATGCCACACCCAAAAACCTGTATTTACTTGAATATACACATATAAGTGAATTTTTTTCCTAACAATAGAACTTGATCAAAAACTTGGGATTATCACTGCTGCCAATTCTGAGTATTTTAAAAGTGTCGTGTAGTTAAATGTATTATTTTTCAACCCACATCAAGTTACTGAAAAACAAATTTAATAATGTAGGAAGTTTGTATTTTGTTGACAGCATAAACTGGTTAAATTGCTCTCAAACATTCCTAAATGCTTTTGAGATTATTACGTTTGTCAGTAGCTCCTCACAGACATCTGGACAAAGGAAATTGCTGGCTCTGATAATTAGTTCAACAAGATGATCTCATTCACTTCCAAGCTTTCACTGTAGTACATTAGATGAAAAACAGGAAAAAAGGTTAAATTGAAAAAGAAGCAAATATTAACTGTAACACTACAAAGAAAAACGTCTTCTGTGTATAACATCATCTTCAAACAAGCTCTCATTGTCTCTTTGATTCCTTACATAAACTATCTGTTGCTACTTGTTAGCCGTTTAGTGTGCCAGAAGGGAAGATAAATAAGGTTCCTGTTACCCATCTTAGCCAGATGTGCAAGTCCCCTCACTCCTTTTTAAATTCTCTAGATAGAGACATCTGTTTCTTAAAGGTCTGGTAGAATGTGGGTTTACTGGGATTCTTCTGTGTGTGTTTGACTACATTTTCAACAATGAATTCCACTCCTTTAATGGTTAAAGTTCTACTTCTTCTTGAGTGAGTTTTGGAGAAATATTTACATTTAATATTTGAAGAAATATTTTTATTTTTTTAGAAAACTGTCCATTCTGTTTCAAACATATTGGCATAACGTTGTTCACAGTACTAAAATTCCTGTGATAGCTGTACTTTCACTTTTTCATTTCATTCCCTACGTCCTCTGTGGGTTATGGAAGTGTGTCTCACTGTTATTTCAACTTAGATTTTCCTGATTGATAATGAGATTCAACACCTTTTCTAATGTTTATTGGCCATTCGTGAGTTGCCTATTCTAGCCTTTGATAATTTTCTACTAGATTGTTTTTTATTATTGGTTAATAGATACTATTTGTAGATTATCTGTCTTGTCTTTGCTTTTTCTGGAGTTTCATTATGATGTATGTGGAGGGATATTTTTCTATTATTCATCCTGTTCGAGATTCATTAAGAATCTGTGGTCTTTCATCATTCAGGAAAAATTTCAGGCACCATTTCTTCAAATATTTGTCTCTCTCCCATTCTTTCTTTCCTCTTTGTCTGGAATTCCCATTGTACGTGGGATTTAGACATTATCTGATTTTATCTTCCATGTCTCTGAAGCTCTGTGACCGACACTATCATTTGGTTAACCCAACAGTCATTCCCAACCTCTCTCTCCCTTGCAGGCTTCCTGCTAAAGAGGATAAAAAATGTTATATGCTCACTTTCTCAAATTCCCTTGCAGCCGGGGTGGCCATGTAACAGAGTACTGCCAATGAGCTGGAAGGGTTCTAGGAAGCCTTTTGACATCCTTATCAAAGGGGGAAGATGTGAGGCACTTACTCTATCCCTTCTGCCTCCTCCCTGCCCTGCAGATGGGAGTGAATATCTGGAGCCTGGCAGCTGTGTTGAAACATGGAGGAACAAGTAAGGGAATAAAGAGCCAGTGGATTAAAGACGGTAGAGTATAGAGAAGAGACATTCTGGAGCCCTTGATTATAACAGTGAGCAATGAATCAATCTTGAAACTACTTCTAGACCTGTTCAAAAAAAATTAACATCTTTATGGTTTAAGCAACTGTTAGTTGGGTTTTCCACTTCTTGAAGTTGAATACATACTATTAAAAACCCTCTATTATATTTCCCATTTTTTAATGTCTCTGTTTTATGTTCTAATTTCCCAAAATCTGTTTTCCAGTTCAGTAGTTCTCTCTTCTGCTGTATCTCATCAGTTTTTCAACTCAGCTGTTTTTAATTCCACATTTTTATTTCTACAAGTTTTATTTGATTTTTTTCCAAATCTTTTTATAGTACCATGTTCCTTCTCTGTGATTTTTATTCCTTCCTTTATCTCTTTAATACGTTTAAATGTAGTCTTCTGTAGTCTCTTTCTTACTGTTTTATTATCTCAGGTTCTGGTAGATGATCCTCTTGTTTGTTGTGTCTGCTGACTAGCTCAAGTAGATCATTTGCTTGAATGTTTTGTAATTTTGGATTGTGAGCACATCTTCAGCAGCCATTACACTACCAGCCCAGGAGACTCCTGCACCCGAGATAATAAACAACCAGTGGCTTCTTGCAGCACAGATATTATAAATTTGAACTCCAAACATCATCTGGCCCAGTTTTCTTTTCTTACAGGAGATTTCTTTTTGGCCACAAAAAAATCTGAGGTGGAGACCAAGCTTCTTTATCACCTCCCTGAACTAGCAGGTGTTTTTTATTTCCTCCTTCACTAAGAAGAGCAACATTTTGTGAGCCTTGGTTTTGTGCAGGGGTCTCAGAACTAATGCTCTCTTTATGAGTGCTCAGGGCCTTGTCTCTTGTTCCCATGTGGGCATTAAATAAAGCCTATACTCATTAGGTACCCATATATTATGAGCCCTCTACCACCAACTCCAGCCCCACCCCTGCCTCAGCTCATGCCTCATGGCTCTGTTTTTCACTTCTCTTTTAACTGCTGTCATCTGGTTATTTCCCCTTCTTTCTTCGGAGCTCAGCTACGTATTGATGTTTTTTAAATTACATTTTATTCAGATTGCGAGGTGACCTGAACAGGAGGGCTTCAATGATAATTCAGTCCACTGTGCTTCCAGAATGAAAAATTATCCACAATGAAATCTTCACTGAAAAAACTCCAAGTCATATGTGGTCACACCAAGTGAATAATTTTATATTAAGGATCATGAGTAACAAATTTTCAGCAAATGGATTTCAATGTTCTGTAAGAAATTATTTAGTAGATGGCATAAAGTTCTTTCTCACGTAATGAGAATTAAGTATCACAAGGATACAAAATAAGATACTTACCAGGCTGGGTTTGATGCCTACACTTTCAGCTGCTTCAAATGCCAACAAGAGATTCCTTTTCTAGGTTAAAAAGACAAAGAGACTGGAATTATCAACTAAAAATACATAGCTTTTGCTAGGAAAGAACACCAACTGACACTCCCATATAGATGATCTCCATTATAAAACATCTAAATTTTTAAGTCAAATATGCAAACAGTGGTCTCAATTTAAGGGAAAAAAAGATTAACAGGTTACAGTTGTCACTAAAAATGACATTACTGATTTGATCTCCTGACTATCAAAGATAAGTTTTTGTTTGGTTATTTTCTTTGTCAAGATTTATGCCATACACATTCTGGTGTGTATCAACGGTTGTTTAACCATGGTGCCATATTAAAAAATTATCACAGTAATATGTGCACATAGATAAATATAATCATATGAAAAACTGTTCCTTCCCCCAATCCTAGTCCTTCGGAGAACCACTTTTAATTTTTCTAATTATTCTGGTGATTACCTCCCTATCTCTGTAACATGCTGTTATCTCTTGATTCCTCAAACAGAGGCATTACCTGCTAACTTCCTCCCAAGATAAATAAGGACTTAGGTATCACATACCTCTCTCCACCCTTTACTATACATACGGCCAATTTTAGTTCATTAGTTATGTTTGTGATTTTAAATAACACCCTTAAACCTCCATTTCTTATTCCATCAATTGTGTATGGCAATTTCTGACTCCACTTTGTATGACAGAAAAGTTCCCCTTGCCTATCCTACTCTTTGTCAAGTTTTACTTTTAAACTGTGAAAACTTACAACAATTTCTTCCTTATAACCACATTTGCATCTTCTGCACTCTCTTACTAGGATGATTCTGAAAACAACACACAGCATTCACACAGCAGTGTGCTGCGATTACACTTCCTTCTCTGTAGCTCCAGTCATGATGCTGTGCCACTCCAAACATTTTTTTAAAAGGATTTTCCTCTTTGTGACTCAAACAAGTGCTTGAAATCATACCACAATTTAATGTGCTCCAGATCTGGACCTTGCCTTTCTTCAAAAGTTTGTATGCTCTCAACAGTTCTGCGTGTCTTGGATTTTTCTTATTGGGAGAAGATCTGTATGCCTCTTTTCATCTTCTGGCTTCTTACTCATCACTGTTACTTATAATTCATAATATTCTCCTAGCAAACTGACTTTCTGTTCTAACACAGAGAGACTGCCCCATATTTGGGCCATAATTTCCTTGCACAGCTTCTCACTTTTTCCTTTATCATACCCTCGAGCTCTTAAACATATCATTATTCTATGAAAACCTTCAGCTCCAGAGTCCTCCAGAACCTCACGTCAATTTTTGGATAATAATTCTGTTCTAGTACATTCTTAGGTTTTCTTCTTAAGAGAGGACGTGGCAGAGATATATTTTCTAGATGCATTCATATATGAAAATTTCTCTTTTCTATCATCACACTTGGTTAATAATTTGGCTGGATGTAGAATTCTAGGTTGAAAATAACTTTCCGTAGAATTTTAAAGGTGCTGCTCCACAATTATTTAGCCCTAATTTGCAGCTTCTTTTTGAGACTTCTTCTGGCTGTTCTCTAATGCGTCTTCATGTGTATGAACTTAACAATCATTTGCCCAAGGCTCCCCACCTCCATAATTTGTTTGAAAGTCATTATATTAAAATTGTATATATTAAATTTTAATTTAGTATATTAAAGATTATATTAAAATTTAATTAAACTGGTTAAGTAAGTATAATTGAGAGACAAGTGTTTCTGTCCATATTCATGTTTTATGTTCCTCAGTAGAATTTGGTTATTTTATGCATTTAGATTTTACACAGTTTTCCATTTCCCCGTGTCTCCCACCTTCTGTCCTTGCCTGCACATCTGGTGCCTGATGACGAAGGGGTCTGCCCTGACACAGAAGCAAACTCTCTGCTCTGGGTACCAGGTCACGGAAAAACCCTAAGACATGGCTATGCACATTTTCTTCTAGTCTGTGGTTGAGGCCCTGGGAAGCAGTAGATCTGTGGTCACCTTGCCTAAGCCGCCAGCCCTCTTCCTCCAAATTAAGGGAATTAATGGGGATGGGCTGGAAACCTTACACTTATTTCTCTAACACTATGTTGAGAGGGGAGCTGTAAATTGGCTCCTGGCTTCCTTCTACTTAGCCCAAACGATTGGCAGCAATCTCCTCTTTTGGTGCTAATGAGGCCTTTGTTGTCCTTACTTTAAAGTCCTTTTGGTTAGTTTTGGGGAGATGGGGTTTCTAAGCCAATTTTTAGGCTACCATTATACCAGAAGTCAAGATACAAATATTTGTATTGCTTATGATATATAATGCCAAATTGCTCTCTAAAACGCTACACCAATTTTCAATTCCAGGAATGGTATGTAAGTGTCCATTTTCTCGCACCCTTACCTGCATAATTACGATTTTTCAAGAGTCTCTGCCAAATGCGGCAGGCTAAAAATAATATTTTATTGTTTTAATTTGTATCCTTTGATTCCTAGTAAGGTCTAAGGAAAAGGCATTTCTAAACCTAAGGTTTTATACAGAATTCTCCCAAGACCCCCTAGCCTGATTCTAATGAAAAAGCTAATGTTTTCTAAACAGATATTGAACAAAGAAGAAAGAGTCTATGTTGAAAAATTTTCTCAAAATATTCTGAAATAGTGTACAGTAGGACATGGAACATTATATAGAGAGAGGTGGTTTTTGGTTCACAAAAATAACTTTTATTGGGTTTGGCAGCAGCAGGAATCAGTGACCAAGCATCGCTCCTCTAATTCTCTTTCGTCAGAACACTGTCGCGGCCGCTGCAGGACGGCTGCCGGCGGACGCCACTCCTGGGATCAGAGAGTGTGCCCAGGCAGGGCTCAGAAGGGCCTCGCCTGGCCTGTGGTGCAGCTCTGTGCTCACAGTGGTGCAGGGTGAGAAGCCAGCAACAGCTGTGGTCTCGGCCCTGGCTGGGGACAAGGGGACCTTCCAGTTCCAGGAGAGTGAAGGGCCCAGCCCGGCGGAACTCTGCTGCTGGCCGGGCTAGCAGGGATCTCACCCGAAACTGATGGGAAAAAGGGTCCCAAGCTCAGAACTTCTCCTCTCACACCAATATTTTGTTTCAGACGCTGAAATAAACACACTCCATTCTATCACCTGAATTCGTGTAGCCTAAGTGGAAGTGAATACACTTTTTATTGAAAAAATGCTCAGACCTGCCATTGCCTGTGACTCACACGCTGTGCCTGTGTATCCCTTTAATGTCTCAGAAGACATTCCTATTTAGAAGAAATTCCTATTTAATACCAATGTCAAACTATAAACATTACAGACTCTCTCGGTGCCCTTCTCATGTATGTGTACATCAAAGACACCCCCATCCACCGAAGGCCGAGCACTGCCGTAACCAGGCTCTGGGCCAGGGCTGACCTCCCTCAGCCTGCGGACTTTGACGTGTGCATTTTCTTCAAATTGGCCGGCTCTCTCTGAAACCCAACTCCAAACACGCCTCCTTCAGGAAGCTTCCCTGCTCCCTCCCTCTCCTCATGCAGGAGCGCCGAACCAGGTCTCACACGTGCTCAGTCGGCTTCACACCGTTTTGGTTTGATTTGCCTGTGCTGACACATTATTTTGAAAACCCTCCTCAGTAACTTTAATACATTTGAGTTTCTCTCACCAAACTGAACGTAAGCATCCCCCGGGGCAGGCTTGTCACACGCGGCACAGGCGAAAACCGTCACTCCACCCACAGTGCATCCACACGGGGCATTCAGGAAGCGGGAAGCCAGACGTTCCTTGGTAACTGGCAGAGTCCTGGGCCCTGGGACACACATCCAACTCTAGCCGACAGGGAGGCTGTGCAGCCGCAGAGATCTTAAAAGGAACATCCCGGCCTTCTGGAGCTGACTCGTTCGTCCCCTCCCAGACCTGAGGTCCCTCACAACCTGGCCTGCGTGCTCCCAATGGCAGCACTGCAGATTAGGGAGAAGAGAGCCCAGCCTACGGGCAGAACACACGGGCCCCTGCACCAGGACAAGAGACGGGGGTGCAGTGACATCTGCTGTCCTCCTGCACTCTCTCTCTGTGGCGGTCCCTGTCCCCGGGCAGCAAGCCGTGCGCGGCAAGCCGTGCGCAGCGTATGGGCCTCAGCCGTGTGGGCCTCAGCCGGCAGGGGCAGTGGAGCGCGACAACGGCGTCTCAGCCACTGGGAAGTGACGCCCGCCAGTTAAAAGGTGAAAGCTAACACTTTTAGGCTCGTTATTTTCCAACAGATCTACTGATTCAAGGACAAGGAGCCCAGGCGTGCTCGTGTGACTGTGACAAACGGTTCTCCCTCCCAGGAAGATCCCTGTTTGACAGCGTGGCCTGAGGGCTCGCCTCGCCTGTGCTGCTGACAGCCTTACCAGCTCCAGCCAGGTCTCCTGTTATTTTGAATTGCTCTGTGCCCACCACGTACTCGCCTATATTCGTAACCTCACGTGGAGGCGGCAGGCTGAGAACTGAAGCAGGCGGGAAGCGGGGGACAGGGAGGACATGGACGCGGCTCTGCCTGTGAGGGGCACGATGCACAGGCTGCGTGGACCCCGGAAGCCACACCCTCCCAACCTGTCTGCCCCTCTGCTGGGTCCTCCTCCTCCACCTAAACAACAAGCACTGGAGTCCTCAGGTTGCCCGTGGGCTTCTCTTTGTGCCTCTGTGATTTGTGATTTATAATAAGCACATATCTGGTCTTTATCCATTGTTCCTGGCACAGAGCTCCTAAAATCCTTGTCATTTCCTCTTTAAGAACCATAGGGGCATCTTTTGTTATACTATTTGGGTTTTGTCCTTGGTTCCAGAAATGGCTTCAGAGCAATAAAGGTGAAATAGATGTTTTTTGTTATTCATAACAAACTCCTTTCAACCACACCTGAGTTTCTGTTAATAAGGTGATTTTCCCAAAGCCCCTAGCAAACCTAAGGATGGGGGCTGGCTGCCAGGGAACCTTCCAATGATTCGAGGTCCCACTCCCTCAACCCTGGGGAGGGGAGAGGGGCTGCAGGTTGAACCCATCACCAGTGTTCAATGATTTAATCAATCGTGCCCACGTAATGAAGCCTCCACAAAACCCCAAAAGGGTGGGGTTCAGAGTTCTGGGTTGGTGAACACATTCAGGTGCCATGAGGGTGGGGCACCCTAAACACCAAGGGGACAGAAGTTCCTGTGCTCGGGACCCTTCTGGACCTCACCCTATGTATCTTCTGTTCATTGGTACCCTTTAATATCCTTTCTAATAAACTGGTAATCTAGTAAGTAAACTGTTTTCCTGAGTTCTGTGAGCCGCTCTAACAAATTCACAAAACCTGAGGAGGGGTCGTGGGAGCCTCTGATTTATAGCTGGTCAGTCAGACGCACAGGTGACAGTCTGGATTGGACTGGCATCTGAAGTGGGGGCAGCCTCATGGAACTGAGCCCTAAACCTATAGGACCTAATGCTATCGCCAGGGAGACAGTGTCAGAACTGAGTTAAATTATAGGACCCCAGCTGGCGCTGAGGAATTGCCTAGTGTGGGAACCCCCAACTGTTCAGAAAACTGTCAGTGCAATAGTGACAGCGAGGGGACACACTGACTGTGGCTTCCTTAGAGCCTCAGTAGGAGCCAGGGACTGGGTGAGCCCCACTCCCACGGCTTTAAATACCATCTACACCTGCCCTGTTCAACACAGTACCCCTCATGACATGTGGCTATTTAAATTATAAGTAATTAAAATTAAAAATTCCATTTTCCAGTCACACTAGCCACATTCCATCAGTAGCCCATGTGGTAGTGGCCACCATACTGGACAGCACAGATGCAGAGCATTTCCATCCTTTTGGTTCAGCTCAACGGCACTGATCTATTCACCAACGATGCCCACCCTGGCTTTCTAGCTCTCATCTCCCCGCTGAACTCCAGAGCTGCTATCCTACTGCCTGCCTGACACTGCCACCTGCACACTTCACGATGTCTCAGACTTAACATGATTCACAAGTGAACGCTTTTTTGGTCGGTTTTTTTGTCTTCCAAATGTTTAACAATCCTGTTCAGGCCACTTCACAGATTACACAGCACCACACATAAAAGTGCTCAGAAAGGTGAATACACTGTGATTGTTAGTTTATGTGTCAACTTGGCTGGGCTACAGTAACCAGATATTTTGCCAAACATTATTCTAGATGTTTCTGTGAAGGTATTTTTAAGATGAGATTGGCATTTAAGTAAGCTGACCCTGGGTAGAGCAAATGACTCTCTATAATGTGGGTGGGGCTCACCCAGTCAGTTGAAGGCCTTAATACGAAAAGACTGATCACTCCCCAAGAAGAGGGAATTCTGCCAGCAGACTGCCTTCAGACTCAAACTGCAGCACCAACTCTTTCCTCTGTCTTAAGACTTCCAGCCTGCCCTGCAAATTTTGGATTTGTCAGCCTCCACAATTGTGTGAGCTGATTCCTTAATATAAGTCTCTCTGTTCTGTTTCTCTGGAGAATTTTAATACACAGTGTAAAAAATTACATCATTTTGTTCAGTTATTCTCACCATCAGTGCCATGACCATCCTTTGGACTGTATTTAAATCCCAGTGTGGGATCATCAAAACAGAACTTTTAAACATTTCTATTCCTGCCTCATCTCAGAAAATGATCTGGACAAGCTAGACAGCTGGGGTTGTCTCTGACTCTTTCCTTTTCTTCTCCTCTACAACCAACGAGTCACTAAGTCCAGCTGCGTCTAGATCTAAGACTTACTTTGAATTTGTCTATGTCTTTCCATCTGTGATGGTATCAGCCTAGAGCCAGCTAACGGGCGAAGCCAGGCAAATGCTCTCACATCGACGACTGCAATGGCCTCTCAACTGGCAGCCCCTCTTTCACTCTTGTTCCCTCCCATTCCAATTCACTTTTTTCACATATCAGCCAGAGAGATTTTTTAAAAACATGTATCGTGTCTCTCCATGGTGAGAATCCTTCAGTGACTTCCCACTGTGCTTGGAGCAAAATCAAACTTCTTAGGGCTGGCCCAGTGGCGCAGCGGTTAAGTGCGCACGTTCCACTTTGGCGGCCCGGGGTTTGCCGGTTCGGATCACAGGTGCAGACATGGCACCGCTTGGCACGCCATGCTGTGGCAGGCGTCCCACATATAAAGCAGAGGAAGATGGGTACGGATGTTAGCTCAGGGCCAGTCTTCCTCAGCAAAAAGAGGAGGATTGGCAGCAGTTAGCTCAGGGCTAATCTTCCTCAAAAAACAAACAAACAAACAAAACCCCACACACAACAAAACTTCTTAGCAGCATCCTCTGTGGAAGCCATCCAGGGTCTGGACCCTGGGGATCGTCACAGGCCACTCTTCCCTATGCACTGCACTCCAGCCAGCTGGCCTTCGTCACGTCCTCGGCTGCTCCGCTGCCCCCTCTCCCTGGAAAGCTCCCCTTAGCTCTTTGCATCGCTGGCTCCTTCGTGCTGGTTCTTCAGACACCAGCTTCACCCTCATCTCCTCAGAAAGACCTCCTCAGTCTTCCTGATCTAAATGAGATCCCCTTTTCACTCTCACAGTTCTGTGTTTCTCTCATAGCTCCTCTACAGTTCACAATTATTTACTTATAACATTACTTGTTATAGGTTTACTCACTTGTTTACTGTCTATTTCATGAGGGCAAAGAACACGCCTATATCACTCACTGTTGTCTTTATTACCGTGCGTGACGCTTGGCAAGAAATACTTGCTGAGTGAATGAGAGCAAGGCCTGGCACAGCATTTTCCAAAGTACACTCTGCGGAATACGATTTTGTAGAATGGTCTGGGTCATGGTTTGGCAAACGACAGTCTGGAGGCCACATCTGGCCTACAGCCTATTTTTTAAATAAATTTCATTGGAATGCAGCATGCCCATTGGTTTGCATCATATGGCCACTTTAGTGCTGCGATGGAAGAGCTGAGTAGTGAGACAGACACACAAAGTCTACCATTTGGCTCTTAACAGGAGAAGTTGGCCAACTCTTATTATAGGTGATTATATCTGGAAAAAAAAGGTTCTTTGGATCTGATACATGTTGTGTTAAACTGTCACACAGGTTTCTCTAACAAAGGACTTCTTGAGGTCTTACTGTGCTAATGAGCCTTCATTACTGCAAATCTTTAACCATGTGATATGATGTACAGTCTCCAAGCTTATTTGAGAGGGAATTATTTTGGTGATGCTTGCTGGTTCTTTGGAAAAGACTTTGAAAAACACTGACCAAGGTCTCAACACCATGAAGGTGATAACCCCTGAGGCCTTTCTCTGGAAAATGAGCGACAGGAACTTCTCAGCAGCAATCTGGCCTTCGCTGGGCTTTTCTAGGTAACAAGGGGTACACACTGAGGAGGGGAACTGAAACGTGTTCACCCTGAGTGGGATTCCACAGCGCAGTCACACACTCAGTAGTCATCTGTGGCTGGTATCGATGTCCTCATTTCCTCCTCAAGTCTCTAAACCCCATCCCCAGTGGGATGTATCAATATCATTAGGAATTCCCCTCTGTCTTCTAGAGAACAACCAGGGTGACCAGGCAAGTGACTTACTTTCTCCTGACTGTTCAGCTCCTGGTATGGGATGTGGGCAGGCAGGTAGGTATGGAGCAGAGCACAGAACGCCAAGCCATCACTCCAGCTGCTGCTGAAATTGGTGATATCAATGTTCTGTAGGAGGGAAAAGCAGCATTAATCACCAAACTCTGCAAAGTCACAGAATAATGAGACTGTGTTACAATGGGTATCCATCTCAGGGTTTGCAGTAAGGTAAGATAAGAAACTACACAAGTCTGCTGGGAGTACATTTAATTTTGGTGCCAGGAATGGCCTGGTGTTACCCAAATCCATTCACAGAATAGCATGAAAAAAAGGCCTCTGTGCTTCAAACAGCAGGGAATTTCGGCCTGCTCTCTGGTACTGTAAAGGCTCTGAGACGTCTTATTCTCAAATGAACCCACCTGGTTAGCTTTGCATCTCCCAACACTCCCAGCCTGACTGGACCAAGGAAGAATCAGCATCATCATATGACATCCTCACACACAACCCAATTAACACGAGTAGGCCGAGACAAGATGGGGTCGCAGAGACCTACAAGGCTGGTCTCATGGCTTGCTCCTGCTGCTACACTCTTCTCCCCTCAACTTGAGGGGCTTCTGAGGGGAGAAAACCCTTCATGCTCCATAGTGTCCTTGCTAGCACACCCAACACGGGCATTATGAGGCTTCATGGGGAAAAAGGAGCTCCTCCTTCAGGGCAGACAGGGACCCAGGCAGCTGCCTGGTAAATAGTGATAAGGAAACCAAAAGCCAACTTTATACGGCAGCCCATGGAGATGACAGCTTCCGACAGCTCAGGCAGGGCCCTGGGGCCCCAGTAGCTCCAGGATACCTCCACCTCTTAGATCCTTTCACCTGTCACCCACCTGGCCTCTTTCTCCCTGACCCTGCTCATCCTAACAGGGTTTTCTTCCCTGGTTCACAAAGCTCATCCCACATGAAATGTCAGGTTCCAAAGCTCACTAATTCCTGAACGCTTAGGTCGTTTTACAGACAGGCTGCCTAAACATACTGAAATAGTCTGTGAGCGGGACCGTGTGAGGGACACACCAGTGTACACCTCCAGGGTTTGCTGAGTTTTCCATCTGTGTTCTGAGCACTTCTGGTGCGATGAGAGGACTCGGGCAAGTCTGGGGCTCCTTCCTGCAATCTCTCCACAGCCACTGAGGGAGGGGGAAGCAGGGAGGTCCTCCTTCTCCTCAGAGCACCCCATCCTGGGAAGCAGGACGCCGGCGAAGGTGAGGAGGCGCGGTGGAGAACCAGCCCTGTCTGAAGGAGCGGATGCTGACTACCTTGCCCTCCCTCCGCCGGGCCGAATGCAAGACTACCGCCGGTTACTCTGAGGCCCCGGAAAGCGGACTCAGGGCACTTCCATCAGAAGCAATGGCAGTTTGAAAGGAGAGGAAGGGTGAAGAGGAACACGGCATGGAGTTAAACTGGAGTGGAGGAGGGAGACTTTACAGACTTCTCAAAGTGTACGTAAAGAAGTTGGAATAGGTGGAAACGTGTAGTAAAATATGGTTTCCTGTGAGGTTTCCTGAGGGTTTGGGAAGCCAATTACCTGTAATCTCTTGAGCTTTTTATCTACTTTCCTCAGTGTTAGTTCGAGCTAGCTTGGCCCTTAGTGATGAGGTAGGTCAAATGCCTCATTTTATAGCAAAGAAACTGAGGCCGGAGGAAGTGTTGTCACACATCACACATGTGGTTCACCTGAACAATGGACACACCAGGAACCCAGGTCCCCACCTTGCGGCTGTTTCTACCGAATCTCTTCCTGCTTTCAGCAGGAGGCCAGGACGAGCCTATAACTCCCCCTGTAAGGCCCCAGCTTTCAGGAATACGTCGTGGTCTCCAGACTGCTTTGCAATTACATTCCCCAGGGAAGGATACCAGCTGAGAGCAACAGGCAGCCGTAACAAGGCCTCTTCATTCTGGTTTTCATGACTCAGCACAACCACCTGTTAAGAGTTGCTCAGCATCAGTGTTACACGTAAGTCTGGGAACGCCCTTGCTGGAAGGCGCCCCATCTGAGTTTTCAGGTTGAATGTGCAACAGCTGGGACTCCTGGTAAGCTGATGGTTTGGAGTTTTGGTTTCAAACAGTCTCTCAGGGGCTACTGATGAGGCCGGGACGCTGTTTTAGAAATGGGAAGCACTTTTATTTTTTGAGGAAGATTAGCCGTGAGCTAACACCTGCCACCAATCCTCCTCTTTCTGCTGAGGAAGACTGGCCCTGAGTTCACATCCATGCCCATCTTCCTCTACTTTATGTGGGACGCCTGCCACAGCATGGCTTGATAAGCGGTGTACAGGTCCGCACCTGGGATCCGAACCGCTGAACCCCGGGCCGCTGAAGCAAAACGTGCACACTTAACCGCTGCGCCACTGGGCCGGCCCCAGAAACACTCTGATTTTATATTTTCTAAAGAGGTTTGTATGTTAGAGAAGCAGAAGAAAGAAACAAGCGGGGCCATGACCTATCCAGTTCACGCAAAGTCTCAAGCATTCAAACCAGATGTTGTAGACATCAGGCCCTGGGAAGGCAAGGCAAGGAGCAGGCCGCGCCAGCCTCAGGGAAAACCAGAAACTGCAGCTCTTATCAAGATGGAGTGCCCGCCCTTTCTTTGCCATGCAGAGGTCATCTGAGACCCCATCTCCAAACCCAACTCTCACAGTGCCGGTGACCCGGCTGAAGGAAAGCCAGACTTTATTTCCAGAGATGCTTTACGGTTACTGTTCATGGTGAGCACTACGGCATCCGGTAAACATCTAGGGTGTTCTTCCCGAAAGGCAACACTGACATGTGCCTCATTTCTTGGTAAAGACACTGAAGCCGCAGGAGGTGGCATTTCCACTAGAAAGGCCATGTTTGAAACAAAGCAAAATGCTCAATGATGGAGATGCAAGCCCTTTAAATATGAGTCCCCTTGAATATAGAGCTCCCAGAAGCGGGGTGATAAGGGAGAAACATCGGCTGAGTATCTACAATGTGCCTGTCACTGTGTATTTTCTCACTCAATTCTCAGAACAACCACACCCAGTAAGTAGCTTTGTACCCATTTTACAGAAAGCTGAAGCACAAGAAATATTGCTGGTACAGAGTCAGGGTCGACTCCAGTTCTGTGTGACTGCAGAGCACAGGTCCCAGTTGCCGTGCTTTCCCTCCTTTTTTCTCCCTCCCTCCCTGCCATCCTTCACAAATTTACTTTACACCTAAAGTTTTACTACTTGATAAATCTTTCTCTTCCTAAAACAGGAGAACATTTTACACACTTACCTCTTGCACCATTCGATACAAAATATCATTTTTCTCCCTCTCCACAATCTTCAGAAGCATTTTGAGAGGCCAGATGGACCCAAATGAGTGATGATGCTATTCATCTCACAAAACCAAGGCAGTGCCAGGTATTTTGGTTAACTGAATGACATTTAAGAACAAGCATAAATAACAGGTTGAGACGAAAATCTGGCGAGATCAGAGCCAGGGTTGAAAATCAATCAAAATGACTTGCAAGCTCAGGAGGGCTGGGAGATCCCGGACGCTCCAGGACAGACTGCAGCCCACAGGCCACCTCAGGGCCCGAGACGCACTGTAACGCAGACCCTTGCACTTCAGCAGCACGACCACACAAAAACCACACAAGAAAAAGGAGGCAGTGTCCTGTCTCTAAAAAAAGGAATTATGGAGGGGCTGGTCCAGTGGCAGCGTGGTTAAGTTCGCACGCTCTGCTTCGGTGGCCTGGGCCTCGTGGATTCGGATCCTGGGCACGGACCTACACACCGGTGACTCATCAGCCATGCTGTGGTGGGCGCCCCAAAAACAAAATAGAGGAAGACTGCTACAGATGTTAGCTCGGGGCAACTGTCCTCACAAACACAACAAAAAAAGGAATTAAGGAAATTTCAAATCTAGTCAGGTCATCAAATCCACTCTAGGTCAGGAAACGCTTCTCTCTCATGTAACCTATATTTGCAAGGCCAAGACTTTGAATTGTTCTGAAATGGGCAGAGATGGAGGGCAACCAGCTGTAATTTCTAATATTACATTCATTCCAAGAACATTACACCATGAAATAAAAACTTTACCCTTCTTATCTCTGAGTGGAACAGCCTTAGTTCTAGTGCCCTGAATGTCATTTGAAATTGTCTGTAATTTGTCTGTTTGTCTGACAGTTATTGTCAAATAATTCTATTTGTCTGTAATTCTATTCTACAAGAGTACCAAAAATTTCCAACTTAAGACAGCAGGCTGAAAAATTACAAATTTGTGTATACATCTATGATACGTCAAAGAAGATGATGAAGATCAATCTGTAAAGAACTATACAAATCTCCATGGTTGCTTTTGTTACTGTCATTACTACAGAAGTGGCTCATCTCTGCTCACCGACGCGTATCTGTGAGCCAGAAGGTATGTTTTAGTGAATGAGGAGTTAGCTGATGGGGTGTGGTACAGTTTGATAATGCTCGTGTTTTTCGCATGACTCATGGAGAGAGATGAGTTGATTTATGCTTTCCCGGATCTCCCCCTCCCTTCATTTTGGAAAAGCCACGTCACTTGAATTACTGTTCACCTGCGGACCCGTCTACAGACTGCTGCAGCCTGAGTGGCAGGCTGGACTCTCAGAGCAGACCCGAGGGGGCGCAGGGGAAGCTAAGAATGGTAGTAGGGTGGCCTCGCTGAGCAGGGAGAAGGGGCAATATTAAGGGGTCCCTGGGCTTCATGGGGGCCAGCACAGCCTTCCCAGGAGGTCCCGTGGACTGGGCTGTGCAGACAGCTCAGGAATGTGGGCAGCATGTTGTCCACCTGGTCTCTGGGTAGCTGGTTTCCCTGGACTAGAAAAGCATCCAGGGGTCAGTGAGGCAGTATATGTGGGTCCCAGTGAAGTGGGCTAAGATCTAGTCCCACTGTAGTGACCAGAGAGGTCCAGGAAACCACGGCGGGAAGGCACTTATATGGACTGAACCAATGTACTGGGAAACAGGCAGAAAGACAGCAATTTCTGGGGTATGGGTGGCTGGGCCAATTGTGAGCAGCCCAGGAATCGAGGTGAGTACTCGCTCCAGATGGTGCCCCTGGATGTGGATGCTCAGCCTTATTTTTGGTTAGGGA